CGGTATGTTGAACAAATAAAACGCGCCGCCAGTCTTTGTATTCTTTCTAGCTTCTTCTTAAGGGTCGCTTGATGGGGACTCCAAACAACGGCTGAGTATTCTAGTATCGTCCTAATGAAGGTGGTGTATGCAATATGTTTTACGTCACGCGATGCATGTTCCAGTTTTTTCCTCAATATGTACAACTTTTGATAGGCTATCGTGCAAACGTTATCTATATGTTCAGTCCATGACAATTTTCGCGTAATTGTTACCCCGAGATACTTGAACTGTTGCGCATGCACCAACAAGTGTCCACCAATGCTGTACGGAAAGGAATGGATAGTTTTCCTTTTACTGATGTGTGTATATGTAGATTTAGAATAATTTATTGACATTTTCCATTTCCTACACCAATTATCTAACTTTTTCAAACAATTCTGAACTTTCAATTGGTCATCTAACTTGGTAATTGTGGCGTAGATTAGGCAGTCGTCTGCAAAAAGTTTAACTTGGACACCCTCTTCTGCCGCCACACTACTGATGTCATTGATATAGAGGAGAAACAATAGTGGTCCCAATACTGAGCCTTGGGGCACCCCTGAAAGTACAGCTAAAGGATCTGATACATGGCCATCCAGTTTTACTACCTGCGTACGGTTTGTTAAATATGCTTCAATCCATTTTATTACGAGCTCATTTATTCCTGCATTACGTAATTTGAAGATTAATTGGACATGGGGTACTTTATCGAACGCCTTCGCAAATCCACGCAAACCACATCAACCTGTTGTCTTATATCTACAGCAGCCGCAAAATCATGGATTGTTTCTATTAACTGTGTCACGGTTGATAACCCGGTCCTGAAGCCATGTTGATAAGGATACAGCAAAGTGTTCTGATCTAGGAACCTGAGTATATGTTTTGCTATTATATGTTCGAACAGTTTGCAGGTAACTGAAGTAAGTGACACTGGACGGTAATTTGTAGCCTGTTTTCGGTTGCCTCCTTTAAATACAGGAATGACGAATGCGGTGCGCCAATCTTGTGGCAGTGAGTGCATTGTATATGTTTTTTGAAAGATGATAGTCAGATAATGCGACATCCATTCTGCATATCGCTTGAGGAATACAGTTGGTATACCGTCGGGACCGCTCGATTTTTTCGTGTCTAATTTGAGTAGTTGTTGAAATACGCCTTCCCTAGCTATTTCGAGTGTTTCCATTGGAACAGTGGGAAGAATTCTTAAGGGTTCTTCCGTACTCGTTGTAGTTTCCAGTGGGTTAAATACAGACTGAAAAATGTTGTTGAAATGGTTTGCTATCTCATCTTTTTTTCTTATAATGTTACTACCAACATGAATTTCATCAGCTGTTTCTTTCCTGTCGCTAAAATACCGCCAAAATTTCTGAGGTGAAGACCTGAGGAACTCACTGAGGTTTTTTTCAAAAAGTGTTTGTTTAGATGTAGCCAAGGCACGCCTGAGTTCAGTTTTTAAATTTCTCAGAACCACTGGCGACGTGCTCCCCTTACGCAGTCTCTTAAGTTTCCTCTTCATATGAATTATATCTCGGGTGATCCAAGGACTTCTCTGTTTCGTTTTTTTAACGCGTGATGGAACATATTTGGCTATGCAGTAACATATAATACATTTGAATTCTTGCCATAGCTCTTCTACTGATTTTAAACCCGAGATGCTCTCGAAATTATCCAATTGGATCTCCAAATAGTCAAGAATCGATGTATCGTCAGCCCTAGCATAGTCTTTAACTTTTACTGGCACATAGCTCTTCACATGTCTCAATGCTCGAACAGGCAGATCAAGACAGATCATCCTGTGATCTGATATACCATCTTGCACCATCACCTTGTAATCATTTAATTTATTTGATAGGAACACCAAGTCTAGTATCGACCTTGACGTCGGCGTAATTCTGGTATCTTCAAGCACTATTTGTTTCAAATTGTAGGTAAACATAATTTCTAGCATTTTTTCTGCGTTTACTGGCTCCCCACCACTGTACGAAAAATTCTTCCAGTTTATATGTGGAATATTAAAATCCCCAGTCAATATCAACCTAGTGTTCCCATTTACATGGGCACATAAAAACTTGTTCAAGGATTTCAGAAACTCAGGGGAGCTTGAGGGTGGCCGATATACAACTCCAATAAGGAACACGGTGCTTTCACATGTTATTCTACACCAGAGAGTTTCTGGTACTTCGCAATCAATCATCGAAGCATTAAGAGAACCTTTAATGATTATACACACCCCACCTCCACGTGAGTCTCTGTCTTTTCTAAATATGTTGTAACTGGGAGGTACAACACAATCATTCGGTATATTTTCATGCAACCACGTTTCTGTTATCGTGGTTATGTGAGGATCGTGGGAAAGCAATAAGTACTCAAGGTGCGTAGTCTTGTTCACTATACTGCGAGCATTGAACGAGAGAAATCTTAGCTATTTTTTTGGTGCCTCAAATGAGCTGCCTGGGCTATCAGATCCGTTTGACTCAGTTGATACGACGCGCTCACTTCGCTTCGTTGTAACAGTACCACGTTTGCCCGAGTGCATATAGCGCTCGCCTTTGACGTCATCCCATGCGTATATGTCATCGTTTATCCTGAGTTTATCGTGTACGAGAACTACTTTCGCACCCGCCTCCCTATCCAAGGCAGCGCTTTGCCATAACTTCTTTCGTATCTGCACTGTTTCCTTCGCATAGTCGTTGCTTATTCTGATCGAAGTTCCCTTTAGTTTTGCGCAGTTTTTAAAGATAGTATCCTTTTCCTTGCTGTCGTAAAATTTCAGGATCACGGGCCTTGGTCTATCACGATTTACTTTTCCGATCCGGTGAATTCTTTCCACTGTAGTAACTTCTATGCGAAGAACTTTAGAAAAAATGTCATTCACAATGCGTCTTTTTAACACTTGCGCAGACTCGTTCGCGCTCTCAGGAAGGCCAAACACCAAGAGATTATTTCGTCTGCTTCTATTTTCGTAATCAATTAACTTGTCATTTTGCTCTCGAACGATGGCCTCCAGTTTATCCATTCTATCTTTCATTTCATCAAACATGGATATTACACCCTGTATCTTATCTGTTTTAGCATTCACTTCTGCAATTTCTTTCCTGATGTCGTCTACTTTGCTTTCCAAAGCATTTTGTTTTTCGAGAATTTCCTGCAAAATGTCAGCAGTCTTTGGGCCTGGATTTTCCTCAACATCACCAGCCATCAGCAGTAACAGTACTGACCAGCAATCGTTCAAAATAGCACAACATCTACGAGGGCACGGCAGCACTAACAAGTATCTATTATCACTGCGATACGTAGAGCTGTAACTAACCTGCAATAGCAGCAACGGTGTTTTAGACATCTTGTTCGCCAGCCAAGTGCCGTGCCCTCTGAAGCCGATGTTCTCGCGTTGTCCCTTTTTAAGACTGGCCGCTGGTGACGTCACACCCGTGGCAGCAAGTCCAGAAAGTGCGCACTCCAAGCTTCCATTTTCGCAACGCTGCGCATCGACGAAGAAAAAGCAGCTTCCGTCGTCGTCCACAGGCATTCCGACGATAAACCATGGCAGCATCTGCAATAGCAGCAACGGTGTTTTAGACATCTTGTTCGCCAGCCAAGTGCCGTGCCCTCTCAAGCCAGCCAAGTGCCGTGTTCGCCAGCCAAGTGCCGTGCCCTGTTAAAGTCTGTATCGCTACAGCAATTTGGCTGTACAAATCCTTCGTTGCAAATCTGCGATTCTTGTACATATACTCGTGAGCGAATGGTCAGAGATACATGTGATTGCATCACGACTACTTCGTATTGTTCGTGGTTGGCACGTGCCCAGTAGAAGCGCTGATGTGCGTCACATACATCTACTATGCATGGGGATCACGACAATTGTTTTGCAATATCTCTTTCTCTTTCTACATGGATCGGCTCATTTAGAACCTGTTCCGCGAGACACTTTTCAACACATCCACTTTAGCCAGACATTAATGTCCTTGTCGGCAGCAAACGACAAAAACAAAATGCTTAATAAGGGTGTTTTCAAATATGAAAAAAAGTGTGGGGCCCATATCGTTTAAGTGAACATTATGAAAGCGGGGTATTCTTGCACTTATCGGTTGGTGGTCGCCATTTCATTCCCCTGATCCCTGTTGTGAGAGACGGACCCATGGGGATGAAATTCACTTACGTAATATAATATTTCTTGAGGATTGCTCCAGTAAGTTCCTCGTATAACGCAGTCATTCAGCGTCACTATCGAGCTGTGAATCTAAGTCGACCTCCGCAAGAGCACAGCAGCATGGTTCGGCGCTTCTTGTACACTGTCGTCCTTTATGAAAGGGAACACGCGAACGCGTGGCCTGCGCTCTGCAGTGGCTGCCTACAGCACCATCAACCAATAGCAAAAGAAAACATGTTCACCTTCAGCGTCATCTATTGCCAAAAAAAAAAAATACGAGTTATGACCAGCAGACAAGCGTTGCTAAATTGCACTCCCTCTCTGCTCTGGCCTGCAGCGCGTATAGTTCACTGCCAACATATCAAACGTTGTTTGCGACCACGGCGCAGGCTGCAGTAATCACCCGATATCACTCGCCGCGCGAGTGGGGAGGGAACGTAATCTAGCAGCGCTTGTCTACCGGCCATGACTCGTTATCTCGCTTGGCCATAGATGACGCCAAAAGCGAACGTGCTTTGTTCACTTGTCGGTTGATGGTGCTGTAGGCAGCCACCGCAGAGCGCAGGCCACGCATTTGCGTGTTCCCTTTGATAAAGTACGACAGTGTATACTTGATAGCGTGAAATTTGCAGCGTCCGCCATGGCCGAACCACGCAGCTCCACTAGCCGCGCACCTTCACATTGAGTCTAAAAACGGCTCTGAATTTTCTTTTTACACAGACTAGCCAGGGCGGCCATCTTTAGGGCTAGAAATGCTACTGTCAGGCTTTCCGTTGTGGCTTTTCGCGCCGAGCGCCACGATCTGCAAATGCGTGCTCCTGCTCTGGCGCAGGTGCGAGAACGTGGACTCTGTGATTGGCTTCATCACCATCAAGGGACAGCGCGAGCGGCTGGACAACTTCTGCGGCTCGCAGCTGCCCAACCAGATCATGTCCAACGAGCACCGCATGACCGTCATCTTCCAGAGCTTCGGCAGCAGGCCGCCCAGCGTCAAGGGATTCCGGGCCATCTACCAGTTCGTCACCAGTGAGTGTTGTTTCTTATGCACATAACTACTCTTGCGCTTGTATTAATATTGTCACGTTACTCTCCACAAACTTGATAAAAATGGGCTCGTTTAGTCGACTACTCAAGCAGCGGCTCAGAGAGATCGTCTTTGTCTTCTTTCACTCTGCGATCTCACCCAAGCAAACCATGTGGCAATAGTCCCCCCCTTTGAAAGCATCGACTCGATGCTCGTAAATAAAAAAAAATGAAGGTATACACACGCAGATATAGAGAACCAAAAGAGAGAGAGTGCCACTACTCGCAGCGCAAATGAGGAAGTTTCGCCAACGCTTCCGCCAAGCGCAAAAAGAAAAGGCATAAAAACACAGGAGAACACAAACAGCAGCAGCAACGCAATGTCACGGCATGTCGTAGCACGTGAAACCACAAGGGCACGAGGCCGAACGACATGCACGGTTTCGGGTCGAAGCTGTCGACGAGAAGACGCTGCGCCGTCCGGAAATACCTTTTAGGTAAGATCTGTGATTCGTCTAAGAACCTTGTACGGTCCAAAATAACGGCTTAGGAGTTTTTCGGATAAGCCTGGTCGCCGGACAGGGATCCACACCCACACTCGGTCCCCAGGGTGGTAGGTGACATTTCGATGGCGGAGGTTGTAACGTCGTGCGTCTGCATTTTGTTGGTGACTGGTGTTTATGCGAGCTAGCTGACGAGCTTCTTCGGCGTATTGAGTGTATTGCTCAGCATCTTGAGCAAGTTCATTGCTTTGGTCGCACGGAAGCATAGCGTTGAGCATGGTTCGCACGTTGCGTTCGTAAACAAGTCGGAAAGGCGGAAATCGCGTTGTTTCTTGCGTTGCCGTATTATAAGCAAACGTGATGTATGGAAGAATCTCGTCCCAGGTTTTATGTTGTACGTCCACGTACATTGACAGCATGTCCGCTATGGTCTTGTTAAGCCTCTCTGTCAGTCCATTAGATTGCGGATGATAAGCCGTTGTTTTTAGATGACTTGTGCAGCTCAGTTTAAAAATGTTCTCCATCATTCGTGCTGTAAACGACGTCCCTCTGTCCGTAATCACGCATGACGGGGCACCATGCCGTAGGACAATTTGATGCACGAAGAACTGCGTGACTTCAGAGGCCGTGCCACGGGGTAACGCTTTTGTTTCAGCATAACGCGTAAGATAATCTGTCGCAACTATAATCCATTTGTTCCCAGAGGACGACAAAGGGAAGGGCCCGAGAAGGTCCATTCCCACGAGGTCAAACGGTGTCCGTGGTGGTGCGATCGGCTGGAGCAGGCCCGCGGGTCTCACAGGCGGAGTCTTGCGGTGCTGGCACTCACGGCAGCTTTTCACATATTGATGTACACTAGTTGATAGTCGCGGCCAGTAATACTGTTGGCGTACTCGGGCGAGAGTTCGTGAATAGCCCAAATGTCCTGACGTGGGCTCGTCGTGGCACGCAAGGAGGATTTCATCACGCATGTCGGTAGGAACAACGAGTAGGAAGGCTTTGTCGCTACCACGGGCGTTTTTCTTGTAAAGAATGCCTCTTCTTAGACAAAAAGAGGACAGTTCGCGAGCAATGTGTTGAGGGACCTGAGAGTTGCAGCCTTCCAGGGAATCAATGACTGGGCGGCGTAATTCATCGTCTGCCCGCTCCTTTAACATAAATTCGGAGTCACTAACTGCTCCGAGAAAGGCATCTTCATCTTCGGAGCCCCTGACAGCGTTCCCCACAGGTGCTCGAGAAAGCGCGTCGGCGTCTTCGTGTTTGCGCCCTGACCTGTACACAATCGTAATATCAAACTCCTGCAAACGCAAACTCCACCGTGCGAGACGGCCGGATGGATCTCTGAGATTTGCCAGCCAGCAGAGCGAGTGGTGGTCAGTCACCACTTTGAAGGTACGACCGTAGAGGTAAGGCCGAAATTTGGTCGTCGCCCACACGACTGCGAGGCATTCTTTTTCTGACGTAGAATAGTTGGTCTCAGCTCGAGAAAGAGTACGACTGGCGTAAGCTATCACATGCTCAACAACGCCGTGTCGTTGTACAAGGACAGCGCCAAGTCCGACGTTGCTGGCATCTGTATGAATTTCTGTAGCAGCGTCCTCATCAAAATGGGCAAGAACAGGGGCTGTTTGCATTCTCTGTCGTAACTCTGTGAACGCTGTGTCTTGTTCTGCGCCCCAAGTAAAGGGTACGTCATCTCGGGTGAGTCGCGTAAGAGGTTCAGCTATCTTAGAGAAGTTGGCGATAAATCGGCGATAATACGCGCACAAGCCGAGGAAACGGCGTACTGCTCTTTTATCTGATGGGACAGGGAAGGCGGCGACAGCAGCAGTTTTGTCTGGATCAGGTCGCACTCCATCTGCACTAATGACATGTCCCAGAAATTTCAGCTCTTCATAGCCGAAATGGCATTTTTGGGGTTTCAGCGTGAGTTCAGCTGTGCGGATGGCTTCCAGAACCTTTCTCAGACGCTTCAGCTGTTCTTCAAAGCTCTCGGAAAAGATGACCACATCATCGAGGTAGACAAGGCAGCTTTGCCACTTCAAGCCAGCGAGAACTGTGTCCATCATCCTCTGAAAAGTGGCTGGTGCAGAACAGAGGCCGAAGGGAAGAACTCGGAATTCGTAAAGTCCGTCTGGTGTCACAAACGCGGTTTTTTTCTCGCTCTCGTTCATCCACTTCAATTTGCCAATAGCCACTCTTTAGATCGATGGACGAAAAATACTTCACACGTCGTAACCTGTCGAGGGAGTCGTCGACCCGTGGAAGCGGGTAGACGTCCTTTTTTGTGACGCTATTAAGCTTCCTGTAGTCAATACAGAATCGCAGCGTTCCGTCTTTTTTCTTTACTAGAACGACTGGCGAGGACCAAGCGCTGCTGGATGGTTGAATATTCCCGTCATCGAGCATCTCTTTCACTAGTGTCTGAATAGCCTAGCGTTCTTTGGCAGAAACGCGATAAGGCTGCTGCCGGATGGGGCGGACGTAATCGTCGGTAATAATTCGATGCTTCGTGAGGTGTGTTTGACGGACTTTAGAAGAAGAGGCGAAGCAAGATCTAAACTCCCTTAAAAGGTCGTGAAGTGCAGCCTTTCTCTCGTCTGACAGCGTCGAATTAATGTCGATGTGGTCTAGAAATTCCTCATCCTCATGCGTTTCCTCGGACGCGAAGCACTCCGTGACGTCGGCAACAGGTTCTCCATAAGCTAGGGTGGTTCCACGGAGAAGATGCCGGTGCTCGTAATTGAAGTTTGTAGCTAGTATCGTTGACTGTCCGTCACGGACGCGGACAACACTTCGGGCGGCACATACACCTTGGAGCAGCAGAAGTGATAAGTTGCTTTCAGCCACCACGTCGCCGTCTTTGAAGTCTTCACAAATGACTTCGATGGGAACAGTTGCTCGAGGTGGCAGCGTCACGCTGTCGTCAGCAACACGCAGCGCAAGTCTACGGCAGTTATCAGCGTCTCGATCTGTTGCGCCTTGAGTCGAGAAGGTCACGATGCGCTCACGGAGATTTATGATGGCACCGTATTGCCGAAGGAAGTCCATGCCGATACTCAGCTGACGCGAACAGTCGGGAAGAACGAGGCAGCTGAGCACAAACGTTGACGCACGAATTTTCACTCTTGCGGTACAGCGACCCAGCGGTGTTACAACGTGCCCTCCAGCTGTTCGAATTCGCGTTCCATTCCACGGCGTGATCACTTTCCTGAGATCTTTCGCTAGCCTCCCGCTGATGATCGAATAGTCTGCACCAGTGTCTACCAATGCACTGACCTGAAGACCGTCAACCAGCACAGGTATGTCGAGTGACACGCGGTCACTAGGTTCAGATGCGGATGTCGGCGTTTCTTCGGCACTGCGATTATTCTTTGACGAAATGCCTTCGGCGTTGCGTGCAAGCATCGATGGGAGGTCTTCCACACTTTGAGTCCCAGCGACCTTGCCCCCGAAGGCCGCTGCCTTCAGTTTTCCCGACGAGGGCTCGGGGAGCGTTCCCGTGCCGTCACCCCGAAACGTGGCCCAGTGGCTGCGGGTCTCCTCGGAGATGGTGACCGCGATTGCCGTCGTGTAAAGGGTGCACGCTGTTGCGCGAGATATTCTTCGATATCCCTTGGCCTTTGACCAATTCGGGGACGAGGGGAATTGACGGAAAATCCGCGCAGGCCAAGTTGCCGGTATGGGCATTCGCGGTAAATGTGACCAGCCTCACCGCAATGATAGCAGAGGGGTCGTCTGTCTGGCGTACGCCAGAGATCAGACTTGCGCGTCGGTGTACGGCGACTATCGATGTCCAAATCAGCGTGCGCTGACTGAATCGCGACTGACGGCATCACTGTCTGGATCGGGACGTATGGCATTGTCTGTATCGGGACGTGCGGCACTGTATGGATCGGGACGTGCGGCACTGGCTGGATTGGGACTCCTTGACCCGAAAGAGGAGTGGCAGATCGCAAGGCTTCCGCGTACGTACGACGGCGACTGTCAGTAGACACAGGAGCCGTTTCCGGATCAACCGACGTGGGCGGAAAACGATGGGCGTGCAGCACCTGCTGGACCTCGTCGCGGATGACACTGGTGATAGAACCAACATCGATTTGCCTTGTCCCGTACATCTTTTAAATTTCTTCCCGGACGACAGATCGAATGATCTCGCGAATCCATTCGGGGCTCTTGCTCCCAGGTGTGGCGAAAAATTCAGGAGTTGAGGCAGCATTCACTTGACGGTCAAACTGGGCAGATCGTTGGTGCAGTACTCGCTCCATTGTTGCCGCTTCAGTAACGAACTCAGCAACACTTTTGGGTGGACTACGCACCAAACCAGCAAAAAGTTGTTCCTTCACACCACGCATGAGGTGGCGCAACTTTTTTTCTTCTGCCATAGCAGGATCCGCTCGCTTGAAAAGCCGTGTCATGTCATCGACGTACATCGAGACGGTCTCGTTGGGCATCTGGATGCGTGAATGTAGTGCATGCTCCGCCCGTTCGCGGCGGTCGGGACTCCTGTAGGTCTCCAGGAGGCGACGCTGGAACTCGCGCTAAGATGTCAGAACATCATCCCTGTTCAAAAACCACGTCTTGGCACCGTCTTTTAGGCAAGTGTACACGTTCCGGAGCTTCGCGGCATCATCCCAGTAATTGATCGCTGCGACACGTTCGAACTCACTCAGCCAGTCGTCAACATCTTCATGCTGCTCTCCGTGAAAGGGGCTAGGCGTGAGCGGGTTCTGGACGGTGCAGTATATCGGCGTGGAAGGGGTCGGAGCTTGCACGGGATCTTGTGTCGAAGTCATAGTCGCTGCGTCAGTGGTTGGTGTCTCAGGCGGTAGGCCTCGTTGGCGGCGGCTTACTCTATGAACAGGAGTGTCCACGGGTGCAGGGCTTGTGTTCCGGCTGCTGGACGGGGTCTTGGGCATCGGGTGGATTGCGAGACGTTGTACCCAGCACCTCCACCAGTCTTGTCACGTTACTCTCCACAAACTTGATAAAAATGGGCTCGTTTAGTCGACTACTCAAGCAGCGGCTCAGAGAGATCGTCTTTGTCTTCTTTCACTCTGCGATCTCACCCAAGCAAACCATGTGGCAATATACAGTCGAGAACGAAATTAGAGATACCATGGTAGTGTGTGCCAAATTAGAGTTGCAGTATATGCTACTTTTAAACTGCAAAGTTGTGCTAGGTCTGGCTAGCAAACGCAACCATGCGGTGAAATCGTACTCCGTTCTTGCAGATGACCTGCCTACCATGTCGCTGACCGACATGTCTACAACGCGTTGAAGACCGGTAAATAATTTTACTGTTGATGACTGGCGCCGATCGAGATCGCTGCAGCCATGCCACGGCTTCAAGAAATGTAAAAAAAATGGCCCCATCATCAGCTTCTCCGCAACGTGTGGTTCCCAGTTGCTTATGACAAACTGACGTGCACATACGCGCTATTTCAAACAAGAGCGCCAAACAAGAGCCCAATTGCATCGCATGTTCGCTCGCTTCAATCGCGTACACACCTGAACGTGAGACGGAACGCAAGGGCCCACTTCTGCAGTCGCCGTGAGAGCGATGGTATTGTTACGTAGTCGTGACGGCGCAGAGTAGAGCTCGGAAATACGTAACTCTTTATTTGGCTGAACTTGTGGGCGGGAAACCCAAAATTAAACTGCAAGCGGGCAATGCACGCTGTGCGTACGTCGATAGCGGCGAACAGAGCGTCGGCCGTCAATAAACTGATCATCGTTGGAATGCACCGTCTTTTCGAACTTTCCCGCCGTATTGCTAAGGGTCGCGCAAGCTCGGCAATAAGCTAGGCTGTCCGCGTCCTGCGCGCATTCTTAACAAAACGATCTGCTACAATCGCGGAGCTTCTCGAACACTGGGGTGTGGTCTGCGCCGAGCATTTCTGGCAGTCCTTGTGGGTGTAAACCGAATGCAGCAAAATTGAAACTAGAAACGTGCGTCGCAGTATTGTGGCGCAACTACTTCGTTTATACAGCCCAAGCGTCGTCGTCACGATATCATCGCTTCCATATTGCACCCTCATCACCGGTTCCCTTCGCGCACTTGTGACAGGTGCCCCTTGCCTTAGAGTTCCCTAACATACACTACAGGGAACTCTGACGCTAGTTTCTATGGGAGCTGCAACGCTGGCGCTAATGTCTATGAGAGCTGCAACGCACGGCGCTTCAGTGAGCATGGGACTGATGAGTAGTACACACATTTGTCTCGTACTTCTGGCCTGCTTTTGGCTCCATGTGTGCTCGTGTGGCTTGAAGCTGTTTTCTTACAAAACATATCTTAGCAAATGCTCGGCGGTTGCGCTTCATCATCTTATTCTTTTAGACTTACCTTTCCAAATCGGGTAGCGAAGTTCAAAAGGGTTGAATCTTTCTTTCAAAACAAAACCTAAACACAGCAACAAACGAAGCCGCAAGTACGATTCGCTGTCCACAAGTACGAGGACTAGGCAAATGTGTGTACTGCCCATCGTTCCCATGGTCGCTGAACGATCGCAGCGCCACTGTCCCCTTTAGTTAATTTTACGAAACTCTATGCCCCTTCCAACCGCCGACGACTCTTTCACGTGCATTGCGATACTTGGTAGTCGCACTTCCCACCGGGCTTCTTTGTCTCGTGACGTATACCCTAAAAGATGTCGCTAGTGCTGTGATGAGCGTGCAGTTGCCCCTTTGAACTTGTTATGTAACGGACGAGTGTCGTTCGCTCGGAGGAAGAATATCGCGAATCAAAGAAGTGCTGGCACTCACAGATGCGTGAAAGGGCACGGAAGCGACGTGAACCTCTCGGCTGTGCTGGCTGCCACCTTCACCGTAGGCTCAGAAATGTTTTCGTTACTGTTTAACAAACTTGCCCTTTCTTTTTTCATTTCGGCTCAATGTGGTTTTCTTTTTCCTTTCTTTTTTTACAGATTTTGGCATTCCTTCCGGTCGTCAGGACCCACAGGGTGGTAAGTTTCAGTTTTTTTTTTTTTTACTTCTCCGCCTCTTTTGTTATTGCGTACTGTCGTTCACATCAACCCGGGGGTTTGAGCATTTAGCGAGTGATGTGCGCGTCTCACATAGAACGCGTCCTTTAATTCGCCATGGTGTACATTGAGCCTGCATTGCTGCTCCTTCAGCTACGCTCGACTACGCTGGTTTGATCCCCGCCGTCATACAGTTGCGGCTACCTTTAACGTCGCTGCCGAAATTCACAAGCTCGTTAAACGCCCTGCTGTCGGCGCTATCGATTACCGTATAACTTCAGAGGCACGCCGGAATTTTTAGATGGAAACGCTATGTTGCACCTGGAAAACTTAATGCCTTTTCAAAACGGATTCACCAATGGGTAATCGTGCACTTATGCCGCCATTTTTACATCGAATGGCACCGATAACAAAAAATAGCCCATTTAACGCAGGCAAGCTGCATCAGTATGCGAGCCCGCTCCACTTCTGAAAAAGCGAAAGCACATATAGGCTGCGGCGTTGTCCGAATGTGAAATTCTGCTCGCTCAGCTCGAACATTCAATCTTAACGCGGTAGTGTTAAGGAGATTTTTCAGCAAATATCCTGGCGAGTGTTATGAGCGAAAAATTGATGTGGTCCGCAAGTTAACAATCTAGGTCTACGCAAAATAATCAAAATCTTGTGTCAAAGTGGAAATCGAAGCTAGGACTTCCTCGGGGCAAACATCTGTTCTAATACCGAACCACGTACGCTAGTGCCTACAAAATTGTCTTGAAAAAGAAAAAAAAAACAAAGATGTGTGAATACCACGCAGTGCGAACATCCTCTTTGAGGCATGTATTTTATTGCTTGACAGAAGCGTAGAATCGCAGCAGGGGTCAAAATATATGAACAGCGCTGCTTATGGCCGGTTTTAAGGCCCACAACTTGAAGAGCAACAGCACCAACCAAGAGTATAGATTCGTGGGTGCGCTTGTTGCCTTACGGATGTGCAGCGGGTACTTCGCCAATTGACAAAATAAATAATTATGGCAGACTGGGCCCTTCGCAACTGTACTTGCAGCGTGGGATGTTGCGGCCAATGTTGAGCGCATGTGCGTTCTTTTCCTCATGGCATGGCGTCCACCGAAAACGAAGCTACGTTAGAGACTGGGAAAGCGATGTGAGCGGTCCCCGATTACGCAATCACGCTCTATCCTGAACGCAAACTTCAAGCGCCCTCCAACTTTAAAGAGCGAAGCTGTTTAACAATCGTTCGTTGTTCAGTCCGTGCTAAATAATTATCTTCATCCTAAATGGTTGTGTGCAACAGAAGTTGGGTAAGTCCCACCTCCGCTAAAAATAGGAAGTCAACAGTACGTTAGCACAACGAATCGCTGCGAAGCGACTGCGGTGAGCCGAAGAAACCCCCCTTTCCTCCGCACTAGAAACTAGAAAAAACGGGAAAGGGCAATAGCGGCTGCGAGAAGGACCCGAAGCGATTGAAGTCACCGTCAACGACGTGCCCGCCTCGTGTCTGTGACTGGCTGTTCTTTAACTCGGACCTCTCTGCACTGAGACCTATAGCACAGTACATCCAAAGCCTAGCAACGACCTATAAGCAACCTAGAAACAACCTGCGTCACCTAGCTGATACATAGAGCGACCTAGAAGCAAGCAGTTTTAGTCTTGAGAATCGTCCAGTTTCAATATTTCAAGCCAGGCGTGGCTTTATTAGTAAAATCTTGGCCATTTTTTACAGCGAAAGCTGTTGAGGTCACAACTCGGGTCACGTGCAGTTGTCCGCCGCCGCCGCCGGTGTCCGTAACTTAACACCAAAGACACAGTGGGGCTCGAAGCCAGAGTCTGCTGGGTGTTAGCCCAATATTCTACCACAGAGCTACGCTGGTGCTCGTGGCTTGTTGGCAAAACTACCTTAGGCAGACTTGATGTCGGGAAAGCAATCGTGTTAATATGACTTATAAAGAGTTCTAAAACACCGAAAGAACAACCAGTCGTCGCACAATGCGTATAGCGTTACGTGTGGGTCGTCCAATGCTTCAACACATTACAGAAGCTTGTTCTTGTTCCCCTATAAATTGTGCCACATACCCACTTCAGCCAAAATTCCTCATCGTCGTCAGCCATTGCATGAACAATGGGCATGAAATTCCTTGCAGGCGGATAACGCGATTTTCAGAAGAATGGCGAAAAATAGCTCAGAAGTTTATTATTATTGCCCTAGTGAATATCAAGCAAGTGTGCTTGCAGTAGTTACCTAATGAGTGTTTTTAAAGATCTCTGAAAGGCCGCTCGTCTAGCTTTCGCTGTGACTATGCTGGCGTTTTTTTTTTTTTTTTTGAAGCAAAGCTTGTTAAGAATTGCGTTTAGAAAAAGTGTTTAACGATTTAGAGTGCTTATATTCTACTATGGGAGAGCATAAAGCCTACACAGATTTCTGTAGCCACACGTTTTGTGCAAAAATCCGTCATCGGCGACGGTGCAAAAAAAGAACATTTAAAAAATGTGGCCACGGAATATGCACCAGTCATTTGCGGATTTGTGTGCGAGCAGCCTTCCCCGCGGATCCCGCTTCGAACGCCACTTTTCGCTGCAACGCACAGAAACCGGATAAAACGAAATTCGAAGTGTGAATTCCGCTTCCTGGGTGCTCGTACTATCTTCGGATATTTTCCGGCGAAGCTTTGTCGGAAGTCCACTTCAACGAAGAGACGATGCAGCTGCAGTGTATTCTATTCGTGTCGCCGGCAGACTTAATTCGCGCGTGTTTGGGGATAGGCCCTTCTGAAGACGGGATCTCTCAAGGAAGTAAGGGCCGTTTAATCTCACGTCGACACGTTCTGCCCAGCTTTCCATTTGGTCGCTGTTTCTTTCTCTTTTTTTCCCTTCCTCACGCTGCTGCGTCCCGTTTATTCAATTTGGCAGAGTGACCCGGAAGCCAAGCAGAGAGAACGTCAATCATCGGACGTTTCGCGTGATTACCATAGCGAAAGCAGGGCGCAAACACGGGAGACAAAAGGAAATGTCGTCGCGTTTCTCGTCAGTCCAGTTGGCAATAAAGTAACGCGAGAAGAGAACGGGAACGAGAACGAAATGAAGGGGATATTATTCGTGACAGGCGGGGAGGGGGAAAAGGGGTGGTTCGGGTTAAGGAACAGGGTGCGCTGGTAAGGAGACGAGGCGTGGTGGGCCACTATGGCTGCGCACGAGCGTAGAGAAGCCGCGGCGGTGAATGTATGGCGCCGTAGCCAGAAGTGGCAGCTTGGCAACTTTTTTTTCTCGCGAAGCGAGAGAAAAAGACGTATCCCACCCGAACCCATCTCGTGTCCCGAAGCGTGGCGTCGTGTTTGTGTTGCGGCGGCGGCTTTGTTCTTGGCCCGTCGTTTCCCATCTCGGCTTGTTGCTCAACGACGCGTCTTAGTCGTCGTCGTCGTATATACGCAATGAAATGCTGGGACGTCGCGAGTGTTGTGGGATCTCTCGGGCACACAGCGGCGCCTTTCTCTGTTCGAGTGTTGTTTCTTTCCGCGGCGAAGAAGAGGCGATGCTCAACTGGGATGCACGCAGAATGGAATAGACGAGAGAGAGAGAGAGAAAAAAAAACGAAATACATGGCTTCCTCCGGAAATGGCGTTTTTAGCTGCGGCCTCCCAGACAATGCCCGTTTATTCGAGCAGCGAATGACTCTCCGGGGCAATAATTTCTGGGCCTACAACTGCGCGTCTGAAGCGTTTCGAGAAACGGTAAATATGGCCGCGAAACGAAAGACGAGAAAAGGAAATTGGAGATGAAAGCGCTCAACTGACGCGAGAAGCGCGAGGAATAAGCAAAAACAAAAGTGAACGATGCTGCGATAACTGGCCACAGGCCTTGCGACGAGGCTTAGGGTCGCTTGCATCTCTTCACTTGTGAGGCTGATAGTGCGAGACGCCTGAAATGCAGACCCACTTAGCTATCACTCATTTCCCGAGCACCGTAAGAACGACGCTTTAGGCGATGTTCTATCCAAATTGCTTCGACTGGTTATCACTTTTCATTTAACGCTTCTCCTGATTGTTGTATGTGCGGAATTTCTTCTTTATTCGTAGTGCCTGTTGGGTACATCAGTCGAATTTGTGTAGGGTTTACGCTGAATGTCAAAACGTGCTGGCCGTGCGCTCCTAATCTATTGACGATCCTTGCGACTGCGCGCCGCGCTTTCCATATACCACCCAAACAACGATTGCGAAGAGTGGTGCGACTCGACGGTTCACTCTAAGGATCTCGACCGTTCACTAAAGTTTGTCTCTGCAGATACTTACGTGCGCCCTTTTTAGGCTGCTTGGTTTCGTTTTATTCTTCTTTTTTCGCCTTCTTTTAATCTTAGTTTTGCTCTTGCGCAAAACTTTTGGCAGCTCCCAAAAGCTGTTTACCCCCATTGTCAACGAGTAGCTTGCCTTACTATGCCAAAAAAAAAAGTGACAGCCTCTCGACACGCGATCGCCCTAAAAGGACCCTTATAAGTGTTCGCGACAGGTCCTCGTCCTTCGTCGTCGCCTTCCATCGCCGCCGTCTCGCTCTTCGTCTTCCTCACTCCAGCCCCATGCATCTGCTTCCTCTTGAACGCGTACCGACGGCTTAGAAAGCCAGGCTCACTTTCGGGACGAGAACTCCTCGCCAGCTCTTCCTTGAAAAGGGAGAAGAATCCCTCGAGAGGCCAGAGATTTAGCGCCGCCTGGTGCCAGAGACAACGAACTGCCGCCGAGCGCCTAGTTTGTTCCTCGGCTGCGACGTGGAGCGCTCCAGTCACGGGAAAAAAAAACTCCCCACGGCACGGCCGCCGTTCACGCCAGGATGCCGAGAAGAACTCTTTGCATGCATCTCCTCTGTTTACGCCCTCTCTCTCTCGGTCTTTTTTTCTCTTTACGTGCTAGCTCTTTCGTTTCTAGTAATGTGGCGTAAGGGATGGATGAATGGTCCACTGCTAACGATAAAGACCGTATGTATATGGCTGTCTAGAA